TATGGTCGGTCATTGTTGCAGTTTCCATTCTTTTACCCTAAAGCGCTATAGCTGGAATGATTTATTTCTCTTCGTCTTCTGATTTTCTCTGCGATTTCCTAACCCGGATACTAATCGCCTTGTATGAAGGAATACTTGATATCTGCCATACCTGATGCCTTTCTTTCTACTACTCGCTTTTTCGTTAGCTAGTTTGATTATACAAAGTGACTACTAGTATACTACGCTTTGGCTGATTAATAGAGGAAGCAGTTCTAGGATTGGATTATTCATTGGATTATATCATATTTAATTCGCAGTCTTTTTTTCTTTCCTCACCCCACATTTTTCAGTGTCACACTTTATGCTTACTGCTGCATGGATTTCCATGCATCATACTGATTTTGGCGCACCCAAAGTACTACTCTGACGGCAGGTTTTGATTAACAAAGCCTACTAGAGTCGAAACCTTCACACAGTGTGATTGGTTGGCCAGGCCATCGCAATACTGTGTATGTTGTTGCACTCGCAGGGAAGCAACCCTTTCCGGTAACTGCCTATGTAAGGAATTGCGAGCATTTTCAAAGTTCGGAACTATTTTCCATTCGCGCAACGCAAAAAAGCGTGAGTTCCTTTCATTAGACATTAAGCCATTGATCCATCTTAAAACTCTTGAGATGTAACGAACAGATTAGCCATTAATTTATTAGCTCCCTTATGAGGTTCTTTCGTTTTTTGGCACTGAAATTCAAGTACATGTATCTCGGCTTATATAGAACATTTTAAACTGAAATAAAATTATCGGACTACTTACCTCTTTCGATAAGAAGTTTCTTTTACGTATTGTTCAAAGTACTGGATCTGATTCGAACAAAGTCGTTCAGTATCACCATGGGTTTTGAAGTATTTCTCATTACGCGAACTATCCATATGTTCCAAAAAGTGATAGTCGATAGGTAAAATGTCTACTAATTAAGGTGGTATTCCGAAATCTGCTGCTGCCTCCAAAACTTCCATCAGTGCAATTTTAGCATTGCGATCTTTAAAAGACTAGATCTTGGTGGGTAATTTCATAGCAAAGCTGCGAAAGCTATAGCGAAGAATCCGTTTTATATCGCATCAATCACAGCTCATTAAAGAAACGAGTCTTTTTCGTTGCTCAAAAAATGCTATAAAACAGGAAACGACAAAGAAATTTGAATGGGCGGAAAGGTTACGGCCAAAAAGACATTTGGTCGAATTCTTTTTAGCGCTTGTGCTCAGTTCAGTGTTCGATTCGTACGGATAGAATACGAAAAAACTCACTCCGCTGCGGCGTAGTGCATGATGGAACCGTAGTCGTACGCCAATCCAAAATTATTGTTCTGCTCTGCTGTATATTTCATGAAATCTCCGCTCTGACCTGACTGAAAATCCCTTTTGAAAACATTGGTATCTTCACGTCTCTAGCGACTGTTGCCTTATTGAGATTCCACCGTAATAACTAATGGTTTCTGATCAACTATTTGAAGACGAGAACCTCATCCTTTTCCGCATCACAAAAGGTCAGTCAAATCATAAGTGGGAATAGACGAAAATGGAGTTATGGTGGAGAGGGGGTGGAGGAGGGGAGGGAGAGGTACCTTTGTTTCTTTCTAGTATTAGCAAGTGAGCATTCTTTTAGACCTTATGAAACAAATGATAAGACACTACGTAAACGACAGTTTGAGGTGTATTTCTCACGAGTACTGCGGGTCCTCATACCAGACATACCGCCCACATCCTATCTAATTCATTGCTCCTGCTCAATACAAGAGCTACTCCTTACTTAGACTTTGACAAAGATGTTCATTTCTCTACTTCATCACCGTAGAGGTGACATGCGAACAGTGGCGTTAGTCTGCACCGACGATCACGACCTTCGTTGAATAAGTGACATTAGAGAGCTTTAAAAGGCCCCGAAACAATAAAAACCAAACAGGCAACCACCAAGAAGATGAAAGACCATTTTTGTGGATTCTGTATTAAATCACTTTTGACTAAGCTGTGAACTGTGACCAGAAAGCAGTCTCGAACGCATGATGATAATTATTATGGATACTGCCAATGTCATCGATATGGCGTAAGGCTCTAGTGGACTTACAGGCAGATGCCGTATCGACACAAAAGCTTACAGTTTTATATCGCAGTAACGGTCTGATGACTTATGTAGAGCGCAATAAGGATTTCCCTCATGCGCTCTACAACTAGTGAGCAAATAGCGGATTCTGTAACATTGCTTTAGAAATTTCAATCTGGAAGCGAAAATAATTATAAGTGCCTCCTTCAAATGTGAGCAGATTTAATAAAGGTTGTCTTGTTTTCACCTGCAAAACGTCATAGTTAACTTTGATAAAGTTGTCGCGATCGGAACGCGAGTGGGTGTGTATAAATCCCAGAGTGTGTCCAATTTCGTGCGCAGCGATAAATCCCTGAGCACATCCGTTTCCCAACGATAACACCTGTTCGCCGCCTTCTTTGCCGACAGTCGAATAACATCCTGATAACTCAGCCACTTTCACTCGGTCTTTAGCTGAAATTAGGTTGTTGTTAGCGACTCTAAACGCCAAGTATTGCTAAAATATACGTAATGCTAAAATACGGCAACTAATGACATTTTCTCTATCTAATCAAGATCTCACATGTTTTGATGTTACATTCGTTGTAGATAAATGTGCTTATAATTTTCACACATCCTGCTTCATTGCTAAGCGCTGTTCTACCGGCTCTCTTGATCGCAATTAGTTCAACGCCGGATATGGTAATCCTGTTGGGTAAACAATCTATAGGAATCTTACCGAAGGATTTTCTGTGAAGTTGATACAGGTGTAACTTTCCCATTGATTCGCCGCGTCTTTGAACGCATTTTTAGTTTGATCAGCTGAAATATATTATCTCAATATCTGTACTTCTACTGAGTTTTGGTAATCACGACCAGTAACAATGCTTACAGACGGAATCGTCAAAGAAGTAGTTCACCCCATCTATCCAGAGAAGTTGCGCCAAGCCTTCCAATTCATGGCCTGACGTTTTAATCGTGTTCATTAACGCCGCCTGCACCTTTTGTGCCGCTTTCGACCTGTTCTGCATGTTCACTTAAATTATGGCATTAGAGAAAACAACTCGAATTCTGAATTTTCACGTACCGGATAAACAAATGTCGCCTTGTGTAGTAGATGATGAACTTATTTTTTTCATTAACTTCAATGACGAAAGCCCGGAGAAGTCTTACCATTGACGAGAGCGCGGCAACAGTATGGCGAGTAAGATAAGCCCATGCTGTAATATTTTTGATGGAATGCAGCTGAAGCTGCCGCAGTAAGCGTGAATGACGTGCTTTTCTTTTTTTAAAATCAGTGGTAGTGGTGCAGGCAGGAGCTCTCAAGAGGGCAAACGTTTACAGTCTGTGAGAACTTCTTAAAGGCTTACATCATATTCAAGAGGTTGTTCGCAGTTGGCGAGCGGTTTGGTATGAATTGAGTAGCGGGCATCAGCTGTTGTTGGAACGCAGACTGCTCCATAAATATGCTTAGCAAGCAATAGCACACCGATAGTGTGTAATATTGTTGCACAGAAATCGCTACCAAATCTCAGGCATGATGAATTTATACGAATGTCTACTTTGCATCGCAGCGCCGGATATTTACAGGTTCATTGGATACTGTGATTGCCTTTGAGATGAGTGGGAGCCCGTGGAAACTCCGACTACGCTTCGCCGGTGACACTGTCCCCGGCAAACTTTTCACAGGCGAAGTTTAGATGCAGGATAGACATGCACTTTCAAAGCATCGCGCGAGTCAGCAAGATGACGAGGGTAGCCACATCGTTCCTTTTTCTCGGCGATGATTTTTGCTGAAGTTTGGGCGGAGAGGCTAATCTTTCCTCAAGCAGCACTTCACGACAAGCTTTCCTTTAAAGTCATAAAAGGTGGAAGCCGTTAATAGGTAGCTAATTTTCGCACTTTTTCGATGTGACACTTGAGAACATATGAGATGGTCATGCACGTGGCACAAATTTTTTGCAGTGATGCTACTATACGATACACCGGTAGCTCAACCACAAAATAATGGGGAACACTCGGATTCGTGCACCCATAGAAGAGATGCTGTGTACATAAAAAAAGGGATGGTAGCCCTCAAGGAAGAACGCTCTCTTAAAACACTACCCGGCGTGTTATGGGCACAGGAAGCGAGAGAGGTCGCCGTGCCATCACATTGAATGATAGCGCTTTTATGCAGTGAGCTTGTTTGACTCTGTTTTTCCATTTCCACTTGCCTGAATAAATATAGCCACACAGTACCGGCGAAAATTGCAGTACATGGAAAAAGGTCCTTTCACAGGTGGACGAAGGTTACGGTAACAAGGGCAGGCCGCTTTCTCCTTTGATTTCCGAACACCAGGAATTTTAGTTGAATTCTATGAATTTATACTAGTCTGATCTTTGTTTCTTTCATATGAAATGCGTCAAATACAGATTCGTGAACATTCATCTCCTCCTGGCCTAATCCTATGTTTAATCCATCGAGATGTGCTGTTGTGTAACATTGCAAGACGAATTGGAATCGCGACTTTTGTTGACCACTATAAATACTGCGTTATGTATCAGTAGCAGTCTTTTCCTGATTGTTAAATTATCTTGCCTTGCCTTTCTTGAGGAAGAGCTCGCTTTCGCGCATGCTTGGCTCTCAACAATAGAAATACCCAATCCCTGACCAATGTGAGCAATATTTAAAAGATCGAGGTGCAGGAAGAAGTTGGCTAGACTCCAAATTGTGTGTGATTTGTCAATACTGCACGCAGACACTGCTGCCGCAGATTTTGTAGTACGTGGAAAAGGAACATATTCCATATCTTATTCTACATGCCCCATACAACATATCCTATTCTAGTGAGACTCAACTCGTATTATTAAGTTGTGAGAAAGCAGTGTGTTTCTAGGGGTTGTCTTCAAAACAACATCAGGTCAGCATTCCAGTCAGCTAAGGAAGCATTGTGAACCACGCATTTTCTTTGACAAGAAAAAACTGAAATAATATGCGAGATCAAAATGTGGAGCCTCTAGAAGCCCGAAAATCATTAGTGGTCTTACCGACCTTATCTCGATTCTAAATCTTTTTCTGCTCAAGAAGAAAGATTTAGAAACGGAGATGGGGTGAGAGAGACGTTCGGCGATTACAACATTACACGAACCATTTACACGGTGTGCTGTATATGGAAAATTACCAGTAAGTTGAGTATCGTTGCGTCGGTGTTGTTTGCCGTCTATAGTATGAGCCACGGGTGTTCAAGTACTCTCGTTTCGGAAGTTTTGGGCATTAATAGGCAGCAGACAATGTTTAGAAAATCTTTGAAGATCACTTAAATGCATTAACACCTCAACGTCATTGCGGCAGGATAGTAGTAGAACGAATTTCGATTTAAGTGGCGACATCGCAAATGAAATGGATTGTTTTTCCTCATTGCGCGTCCACAGCACCTTTAGTGGCTCTTCTGTTTTAAAGTTAATCGCTCATGTGAGAACTTATCGGTTGTTATCAAAATTTTCCGCCCATCACATGTCTTCTCGTCTTTCACAATCCCCTCGCCCTACCACATGCCATATTAAAAAAAACCCCTAAGACTGCTGCTTTTCGCGCTATGAGTTATGTGCGTGACAAACATGTACTGATCCACACACGCAAAGACATGCTAGTGTTTTTGATAGAGAGGGATGCTCGGTTGTCTCGCCTGGCGGTGCCTGAGCTTTAATAAAACGAAAAGTGGCTTTCACATTTGATGGATGTAAAACCAAATTCCGTAAAATATGCTTGATGATTAGGAAAATCGTAGGTGAATGGCTTAGCTGATCGTGGCCGGTCATTTCTACGTGCTTGTGTGTTTTAAGACGTGTTATAAAGCATGGAAATATCACACTATATATGTATTATGTAATATATATACATGTATATGGAAATGGAAATAGTAATATACACTGCGACGCATGATTAGTTCCAAATACACATTTCGGAAAAAGCTTGAATCTGGGAATGGATTTGAAAAAGGCTCTTCAGACAAATTGTAACACATATGAACGCGAATCTGAATATTAACACGGAAATCCAGTTTGAGGAAGCAACAATTTTTCATCGTCATTTTTTCGAAAATACCCGCTTTGCTTATTACGCAGAATTATAATTCCACCTCATGTTTCTCCGCTGCATTTTTCTTTCACACAATCAAACTTTGAATTACTATCTATTCAAGTTCCTTCCTTACGCAGGAATAGTCGAAGTGTCAGCTGGAATTTGTCGGGGTGACTACATAACGAACAAATTTCTCGAGGATGCTACAGGATATGATAATGGGAGAATTCCTGATTACTATTCGACCGAGATACGTTTCGTATCGTGAGAAAATACTTACTTATATTAGTATTTTGATAGTCCTTCAGCTGGCGATCTTCTCAGCGGGGACCACAGCTCTTCCATGCTTCTCGGTTTCTGGCAACTTGCATCCAGTGTAGACCGCGTTGTCTGAAATACTTTGAAAACGAGTCGGGTTTTCGGTCGTCTTAGCGGTCTTGGGAAATATTCAGTGACTCGGAGGCTTCATCTGTCATCGTCTCGGCGAAGTAAATGACCAGCCCAACGATCTTTCGATTGTGACATGTACTGTAGGCTATCTTTCAGGAGTGATCTCTCTCTCTCAATCCTAAACTTCGTACGCTCTGTCTCCATTGCTGATGTCGTCTAACTTTCAGGAAACATCTTTCTAGCCCAACATGTATCGTTTGCATGGCTTTGGCTATCGTCTTATTTTCGGGCCATGTTTCAGTGGCATAACACATTGCTGGTAACACTGAAGCATTATATATAGAGGCTCTGGGGTCGGGATCTTTCATTTGGTCCGTTACTTCTCAAATCGTTCCAAAGGCTGCCCATGCAGCGCGCCTCCTTTGGTTTATTTCAGGAGTAATATTGTTCGTCATGTTCAGTTTTCCTCCCAGATACACGTAGCTTTCTACTCTCTTTAGAGCTTTTCCTGTCAGTTTTACTGTACCTGTATCACACCACTTATTTACCACCAGTTTAGCTCCGCTCGCTACCGCGCGCATAACACGGAAGCCTCTGACAAAATTGACAATCGGTAAAGCTTTGGGTTTCACCGCTTAACTATAGCTGCTTCGTTAAATGCATTACTGTCTTTTGCCCATCTTGACTGTATCTCGCTGTCTGATAAGCGCAGTGAAGTGCACAGCTAAAGTGATGTATGTAAACAACCACCATGCATCGAGGATCGAGGAAATTTAGCGGTCGCATGATTTCTGGTAATCTCAAGACGGAATGCCCAGTATTCACTATCAAATTTATTAGAGCATCCCATTCATCCTCAAAAAATCTAGAAGGTGTAGCGGTTGAAAGGTGTTTGAATTTACAATTATAACGCTAACGAAATGATATTGAAATGAAATGCATTATCTGCAGTCTGGTTTCGAGTAATCTCTACGTTCGTATGCATTTCGTAATTATCAGTCCTCATCTGTCGTTATCACTTCTTGACCCTCACGAAATATGTTACCGTCCAGCCCCTATATCATGCCCCAAAATAAGTTCCTGACGACTGCCGCGAAGCGCGCTATGGATTTTGTGAAAATTGCGTTTCAGCGCCTTTTATCAGCCCTTATCAGATGTGATTACTTTCCTTACCCCACCAAATATGTTCCCGTCCCACCCCCTACATCATATCTTGAAACCAACTCCTGACGACCACTGGTGCCCGAGCTATGAATTTCGCGACACTTGCGTTCTAGCGCCTTTTATCAACCCTTATCAGATGTGATCACTTTCTTTACCCCACCAAATATGTTCCCGTCCCACCCCCTACATGATATCTTGAAACCAACTCCTGACGACCACTGGTGCCCGAGCTATGAATTTCCGTCCGACAGACAAATCACATTATACACCCCAACACCCACCCAAGCCGCTTAGCCGATTATATATAGTAGGATCATTGCGTTTTTGACATGTTCATTTATAAGCCGATCTTCAGGCCTTCCACATTGAGTTCGTCGACCATTTCTTCCATTTCGATTGATAGATATCAATACGATATCATCAGCAAAACGGAGGTTATTCATTTTTTTCCCATTGATGGGGCATCCTTTGTCCTGCCAATTAAGGTTTGACATCGCGTACTGTAATGCAGCCATGAATAAGTTCGGTGATATCGTATTACCTTGCCATACTCTTTTCTGAATAGGGATCTTTATCTTTCGCTTGAACAGCTGGATAGTTGTTGTTGTATTTGAGAAGCACTGTTCGAGCAGTTGGATATAGTCAGGGGGAGCTCCGCCTTGTAAGAGAGCATTTGAACGGCATTGACGTCCACAGAATCGAATGCTTTTTCATAGTCAACAAAGACAAGGACTAATGGAAGGTGAAATCCGTGGCTCCTTCCAATAAGCTGAGTGACCGCGTACGCTATCCATATATGGGAAGTTCTTTCTGAATACTATCTGCTCCACTGGCTGGTATTCGTCCAAGATGCGTTCCACACGATTGAGCAGTATTTTTGTAAACGATTCGTATACCACCGAGAGAAGGCTGATAGGTCTGTAGTTGGCGATATCTTCTCGCTGGCCTTTTTTAAACAGTAGAACGGTTCTCGATCCTTTCCACTGTTCCGGAATTTCTCTTAGCTTGAGGTAGTGGTTGAAGTGTCTGGCGAGGAGAGCATAGGGAGCTATATACCCAGCACGTAGCAAATCTGCAGATCAGTTGTCAGGCCCTGGGGCAGTTCCTTTTCTAATGCTTCGTATCGCGTTCGCAACTTCTGATTCCACAATAGTAGGAGGGTCTTCAACACGCGGTATCGGGCTTCGCAGGACAGTTGTGGTCGAACGAAAGAGGTATGCGTAGAAATTGCTAACAATATCCTCCATACCTCTTCTTGACCTGTGTTGTGTCTTGACCTGACCTGCTTTCTTTTCTCTGTCCATGAGTGCGGTCATAACGATCCTCTGATCATTTAGATCTCGTTCGCAACTTTTGATGCTAGATTTTCCTTCTGCGCCCTCTAATAACTTAGTTCTCCTGTAGGTGCGAAGCGACTCTTTGACAGCTATGCGGCATGCTCTGTTGGCGATAACTTTCTCCAGGTGTGCGGCGCTTGGATCTTGTTCCACAGCTTTCCGTTTTTCCAGCAGCTCGATGGCAGTAGTATTTAATCTTGGGATGGAATTCTGCTGTAAGTGCCGAGAGATGTCTGCACATTGGAGTAAGCCTTTAGCAAGGCATCTATTGTCTTCCGTTAGGTTGTCGAGAAGACACCAATCGTGAGCTGCAATGGCAGATTCAAGTATCTCGCTATTGTACAATACAAGGGACTCTTGAATGGCGTCGGTCTATGTGTGTCACGCTCAAACATTTTCTTGTTCAGATGTATCTTCGCGCGTATCAGGCGTTGATCTGATCCGGTGTAAGATGAAAGCAACACGGACACGTCAAAAAAAACTCCAACGCCTATGGGTTAAGATGTGATCTATTCGGTATGCGATAGCCCGTTGGGACTTTCCCAGGTCCATCGTCTTCTGGCTGGTATCTCAAACGTCGAATTTCCATGAAAAAGGCCCCATGCGGACAGAAGACCCAGAAGACGTTCTCCGTTTCCACTTCTACCAGTACAGCCATGAGGTCCGAGTCTCCAGTCACCCCTGCTGTTTGTGCCCATCACAGCTTAAAGTCGCCGACAACAAATTTGTAATAGGTCCCCTCTTCTCGAATTGTCTCTTCCAGAAGTTCACAAAATTTATCACGTTCTTCATTTGTGGCTGCAAGGGTTTGTGTATACCCATTAATAGTAGATATTACATCTTGCTCCTTGGCCTTCAGTCGGAGTCGAAGAACAGCAAGACGTGGGCTGACAATTTTGTGAGAGTCCACTAAGCTGGTAACTGTCGAGTTTACAAGAAATCCAACTCCACCGATGTTCATGTTATCCACCCTTGCTCCAATTATGAGCAGCTCGTTGCGGTCGGTCTTCTTAATGGTTTCCATTCTACCCTTCGGTTCTTGTAAAGCGATAACATCATATCTGATCAATCGGCTCCTCAGTAAAAGTGTCCGAAGATCAGCTTCCGATGCTTTGGTGCGACAGTTATACGAGCATACGAAAAGGCAGCCCTTGGTCGTGGTATGAGGGAGTTTCCAATGTTCCGATTCTGATGACGTCCTGATTCCCTTGCGAGATTAGATAGCCACTCACCAGCAGAGGCATCCCCCGACGCCGTAGGGGAGCATTTCCGGTGTGCGCAGGACTGGGGCACAGTTATAGCTGTTTAAACAATTGTTTGGCTTGGTTACTCTCTTGTTCCTTGCTAGGGATACAAAAAAGCAGTACATACACACGCCCATACACATGCAGTGATGAGTACTGCGTAGCCGTTTGTACCGTTGGCCACCACGTAATGGTGTACACCCTATCACCGCGGTGAGGTGGTACATGATAGCGGTGAGAAAATAATTCTACTATATATAAGCGGCTAGCGTGTGTCTGTTGGTGTGTCCGTGTGTGTGTGTTTGACCGGAAATTCATAGCTCGAGTCACAGTAACGGTAGCGCAGTGGTTCTTACATATGTTATAGGGGATGGGATGGGAACACAAGTGGTACGTGATATGTAGGAACTGATGACGACTGATAATAGCTGATAAGAGGGGCTAGAAAGCGAGCATCGCCAATTTCATTTTGCCGTTCAGATTGGTAAAGAGCGTCTATACTTACAAGTGTACTGTAGGGCGGTCCCGGGACATTGGTGGTACATGATTGGAAGCGATAGCAACTGATAATGGCTGATAAGATGCGGTAGGCGCAAAAGTCGTCAATTCTGTCAAGTAACTCCAGTTGATACTAGAGCGTCCATACTCGCAGGTGTCATGTGGGCTGGGACGGGAACATTGTTGGTGGGTGAGTGAAAGTGATTGCTACTGATAAGGGGTGATAAGGCGAGTCAGAGCGCAAAAGTCGTCGATTCCTTACGTGGCTTGCGCAGAAACTAGAGCGTTTCCACTTACAAATTCTGTTTGTAGTGGTACATGCACACTGTACCATTGTATGATCAGCTTACTTAATAGCAGTCTATTGCAACTCAATCAATTCTTCAACAAATGATAACTTTAATTTCTATCAAGAAAGCCCAATTCATGAAACCGCTAATCCTTTCGGGGTTCTAAATAATGGTGAATGTAAATAAATGATAACCCTTAGCTCTTCACTTATGTAAATAGGCATTGTTCATTTTAAGTTTGAGACTGACGGCAAGAAAATCGTATTCACCGCTAAATTATCTGGGTTCAAGAAGAATGCCAGATGTTTACAGTTGAGATAAATGTGCCAGTTCAGCTCCAGACGTTATCACATGTATTCTCGATAGACTTCAGCGAAATTGGGAAAGGTCTAACACATTCAATAGTGAGGTGGCTAATGGAGCACCTCATGCTGATAATCCATGGGTCTTTCAGTTTCACTAAGGCCTGCCGGTGATGCGCGCGATAGCGGGCGGAGCAAAACTGGTACAACTTTATCTGGCCGGGTACGGAAATCAAACTTCTTGAATAGAGTTAATGTCTCAATGAAGCGAAGTTTCAATGTGTTTCACAACACTCTCGTGACAGTTCATGTTCTAGAGGTGAGAAATAGAACTTTGTAATATTAAACACTGAGAAAAACGAGCCATTCCCTTAAAAAGATTTTGTGAAGCGGAGCAAATGTGAGAGCACTTTCTCATCCGATGATATTCTGGAACTCGTTGACCATACGCTATATTTTCTTCTACCATACTAGTTTGCTTACGAAGTAAAAAACAGATCTGAGAAATAAAAACATTAAGAGAAGGAGAAAAACAAATCAAAAACCACAAATAAACGTATGTCAACTCTTAATCGACTTGGCGAACTTTCAAGAAAATGGGGCTCGTTTTCTGTCATGACCCTTTAGGACAAAAGTGTATTCTCAATTTCTCAGACTATGGACTGTCGACGAGTGCTGCTGGATTGCGTCCATGTGAGGCGTTAGCTTTTTATGAAGAAGCTTTGATTTCCGTACTCGGCCGGTGAAGTGGTTTTAATTTTCACGATAAGCCAGCATTATTCGGTCGGATAATAATTCACGGTTCTCTCTCTAATATAGACCCTGTGATCCTAAAAAATTTGCACGTTATGAAGTCACTCGACAGATTGCAGCGTGAATGACGCCTCGACAATTCCTGCGTCTCTTTTTACGATTGTCTTTTACGGGAGTCTGACAGCGCTTTGCCTTTTGCTCTAAGCTTACAGGAACTTGATGCAGGAATAATTTCAAAAATTTGCTGGGTAAAAGCAAAAATGCAGCGGAGAAACATGAGGAGGGAATTATAATTTGACGTCATGAGGCTAACGCGGTATTTTCGAAATATTAAGAAAAATATTGTGCTTACCTCAAAACTGGATTTCCGGTCCACCGCTGTGTCATATTCGCGATTTTATATTGTGTCATGTGTGACGCAGCTGCCACGTTAGTTCGAAATTGGTGTGTGGAACTATGAATATGGCGTCGCAGTATGAAGGATTACTAATATCTCGGTTATATATATATATACTAATTATATAAGTATAACATGCATTATATAGAAACATATATATAGTATATACAGATTCAGTAGCGGTCAAAAGTTGGGAAACTTTTTTATTTTGTCTAGGAACCAATATGACAATGAAATTACTCCGAAATTCACATATTATATTCATAATCTAGTGTAAGTGACGAAGGCGGTAATCATGAATTTTTTGAAAAACTGAATTCCATTGAAAATACGAATTTTTATAGAAATGGCGCAGTCAGAAGGTGGAAACTTCCGACAATAGAAGCGAATTCGCAAAATATCTCTCAAATGACATGTTAAATGTAATTATTGATGAGCCAGCTTTGAATTTCATTTAGCGTCCGTTTTATTGACATGGTATTGATTAATAAAATAATTTTAGATTTGTTATGTCGGAACCTCATACACTGTGAACTAAAGCACATTGTTTGGGGGATTCTTGATGGGAACGTGGGTAGAGCGACATGCCTTTTTCTGTGAGAATGTTATAACTCAATTAGACTTTAGATGTTGACTTGGTCGCCTTATAGAGCTCCTTTTTTGGGTTGAAGAAGGCGGCAGTTGGGAGGTAGGCCTGCTTCAGGTTTATTTCCGTTATAGAAAACGCATCTTTTCCGGGCAGTTCTGAACTATCTAAGGCGAGCTTTGTATTCAAAGACCTACTTGTACTTCGACCCAACCCACATTTCGCTGAATATCTAGAAATGTGGAATCGCCGAAGGTTGGACAAATGTTTCATCATGACAGTACTTCCACTATTTTGACTCTTGACAATCTCATACTCAAATGAGGTTCCCATTTGACAAAACACTTAACAAAGGTCCACCATATTATTTCTAGGAAGACAGAAATCTCAATCATTCGCTGAGAGGACAAAGTTACCTTTTGCTCCGGTTCATGTTAGGCGATAGAGTGCGGATGCCAGTTGGGCCTCCTGCTCTTGAAGCACAACAATGGCATACTTGCTGAATACCATCCGTAATATTCATCAGGTCGCGGCCGATGTTGTGCTACACTGGACTTCAATATGAATTAAAGGAAAACTGGAAAAAGTTGTCTCTCATGAGAATGTCGGGGCACGCGGACGTGCCAACCACCCTCGAAGTATTTTGAGGAGGGCAATTTTCTTGTGAGATATTTTATTGTGAATGGTCATCATCTTCTTATGCTTGCTCGACTCCAGCAAAGCCAGAAACATTCGATGCATTACTTCCTCAGAGATTGAACTACTAAGAAACCATTTCAATTTCGTATTCCGTATTGTAGGTTCAAGAAAGGACTTCCCATGGAAAAACTATTCCTTTGCATATGAATTCATTTCGATTAACACATTGCTCAATAATTCAACTAAAATAACAAAAGCAAGTGAACATCGAAGTGTAGGAATCATACTGATAAGGAAAACAAAAAAGTTTCCAAGCTTTTGACGCGCGTTCTTGAAAAATCTTATTTCTCAAATATGAATGAGGGTTTTTGGAAATTGTTTTTCCCGTCGTTATACTGAACTCGATTTTGTATGTAATATCTGAATTTGGGGCAATTTCGGTGTGTGTCGCCGCGCTAGATCAAAAATAAAAAAATTTCAAAACTTTTGACCGCTACGTATATTATACTATAACCAAAGTGGTCCCGTGGCAACTGCCGGAACCTTCCCTCACTGCTTAAGCTATGCATTATCCTTCTCTTCTTACCCTCCCCCCTCCCTACTGTTCTCAACTGCGACGGCAGCACTTGTGGAATGGCCGGAGTGTGTCAGGTAGGTTTTCATATAGCGAGGTGGGTAGTTATCACAATCATGCCATTGCAAAACATTATAGATAGCCAAGCCTTGCGAGCTACCCAGATTTGTCAGCGGCTTTATATTCATGAGACTGCCTTTATCACTACATCATTTTACGACGCACGTACAAGACATGACCGACACGCCAAGTTGGCGGTTAAGAACTGGAAAAAGCGGTCGGAATGCGAAAGGTCACGAATATTATAGTTTCCGGCATGGAATTAAGCGTTATTTCTTGGACATAAAGTTAGGAAGGGACCCAAACATACATATTTGATGGCGTGACGAAATGTCATAGCAGCAGACAAGTGCTG